AGTGGACATCCGGAAAAGTGAAAGATGTGAGAGTTGATTGACAGGTATGATAGGAAATTACAGTTCATTGAAAGGTAAATTTTTGTTTTGAAACCTAAACCCCATAGCTAAATGGATCCAAGAATTTAACAAATATTTATTCAGTTCTGTTGATGATCTTCCCCTTGAAATATTCTTTTGCTAAACTTCATAGCACTATGTGTTCCTGAAATTATTTCCTTTATGTCTTAGATTCCTTTGCAAGATTTTCATTTTCATCCTTAGCCTGTTGTTTAAATGTTGGTGTTTCCTAGGGTTCTGGCCTAGGATTTCATTTCTCCTCATTCTAAATACTTCCCCTGGGAGTTCACATTCGCTATATGACTTTTAGTATCATTCCTATGATATGGATAACAGATATGATGGCATCAAATTCTGCATGTTCAGATCAAACACCTTCTGAGCTCCAGACTCATATGAACCAACCTTAACATTACCTCCTGGACATTTCAAAATATCAAAAACTGAACGGATCAACTTCCTCCTATATCACTGACAAGCACAACTATCTGTGAAGCTGCTGAATCGAGAAACCCAAGCATCATTCTTAACTCCTTCCCTTTTACTTCCTAACAACCAGTCTCAAAGTTCCACGGACTTCATATTCTAAAACATAGTAAGAAGTCACCCACTCCTCTTCATGCTCTCTGATGCCACCCAATCCAGGTCACCATCATCTCTTGCCGAGAATCTCACAAACATCTGCTTAATTGGTCTCCCTGGTTTCAATCTTGCCTGCCTCTAATTATTTTTCACGTTACAGCCAGGTATCTCTTTAAAATGCAGACTTACCATATTGTTCTCTTATTTCAAACCCTTTTCCAACTTCTCATATACTGAAGGTAAAGTCCAAACTCCTCCACAAGGTCTTTTAGACCTCCATTTACTTAAAAAGTTCTCGTTTTGCTGCCCCTCTCTCAGATGCTATATTCCAATATACTGAACTTTTCAGTTCCTTAGACATGAAACTGCGCTCTTTTACCCTAGGCCTTCCCCTATCCTTTCCACTGCTGAAAACTTTTATCTTCACTGTAAACTTGCCTAGCTAACTCCTAGTTATCACTCCAACATTGGCTTTCTCTGGGAAGCCTACTTGGATTGCCACCCCACTCCAGTTTAACCTACCTCAACTGTACTTAATTCCCTTTCAGTTCTGTCAACCTACACTTACCTATGACAAACAAGGACAGATGTTCTTATGATATGTTCCCACAGTCACTTATACTTTTCCTTTAATATGATTTTTGAGCATTTTATTATAAAAACTGATTTTTATAGTCTTCACTAATTGTAACATAGAGGGCAAGAAGCCATCCAGTATACACAGCTTACCTTTGTATCCCTAGCACCTAGTACAGTGGTGTGCACAGAATTGGTGATGGTAAGTGTTTGTTCAATGAGTAAATAAAGTACCTCATTTATAGGAAATTGTAAAGGGTTTAGAGCTAAATAAAATACCCCCTACCCCTAAGGGGAATAGCATAAAATGCAGAATGTCTGTTATACGTAATTATAAGATGATAATGAGTAAATAAAATTGACTCCAATTTGGATACATGAGGATGTGCTAACATTGTAAATTGGAATTAAATATTTAGCTCTCCCTTCTGGGATCATCCAATCCACACTAAACACTTC